ATTTATTATGTTTTAATTGCAAAAAAATCTTACTTTGTTCTTTACTGTCACACAGGAGAAAAATGTTTTGGGTTTCAAAGGACCTAGAAAAATGACAGTAATTATTCCTGGTATGCATGAGAATGATGAGAGAGTTGTTATTCGACCAAAAAGTGTGAGTATTATGTTGTTGATCACTTTTTTTTTTTGATAATCAGTCGCAATATTACGTTTTTTCTTTTTGATATATATTACCATTCAAAAGTTTGGGGTCCTACATGGCCTAAAAAAAAACATTTTTTTATGTTTTTGAAAGAAGTCTCTTATGCTCACCAAGGCTGCATTTATTTGATCAGAAATAGAGTGAAAATTGTAATATTGTGACATTTTTGTATTGTAATTGTATTGTAAATATTGTAATTAGTAAATAACTTTTGTTGTTGTTGTTGTAATATGTTTTAAAATGTAATTCATTAATGTGATGTCAAAGCTAAATTCTCAGCTGCCAAATTCTCCAGTCTTCAATGTTACGTGATCCTTCAAAAAAATTATTCTGATATGCTGATTTGGTGCTCAAGAAACATGTTTTTTTTATTATTATCAGTGTTGTGCTGCTTAATATTTTTTGGGAAACTGAAATACATTTCTTTTAAAGATTTTTTTGATGAATATAATGATCAAAAGAACAGCATTTATTTGAAATAGAATTCTTTTGTATTCTTTTAATGTAACATTTGACCAATTTAATGCGCACTTCCTGTATAAATGTAGGAAAAAACTGACTCCAAACCTTTGAATGGTAGTGTTTTTTATGTCTTGGAAATTTTTGTCACACTTCACTCAGATAAAATCGAATTATGTGTTTGCTTCACTGATTAAATCAGCTGTTTTATATATATTTATATATAATGAAAATGAAATCTCTTTTGCATGTCCCAGGAGCTGGAGTCTCTGCTCACCCGATATGAGAATGGAAACAAAGAAAATCTTGTCACCCTTGTAAATAAATCACCCAGCTGGAATGAGCAAACTCAGTCATATGTGCTGAATTTTCATGGCCGAGTTACTCAGGCATCTGTGAAAAACTTTCAAATTGTCCATCCAGATAATGGTGAGCTATTCTTTTTACTCATTTTGTATTTGTAGTTGCTATATTATATCATATACAAAAATATTAAAATTCCTAATTCTAATATCAATGAATATCTCTCTCCAGTGGACTACATTGTGATGCAGTTTGGGCGGGTAGCAGAAGATGTGTTTTCCATGGACTACAGCTTTCCCATGTGTGCTCTCCAGGCATTTGACATCACTTTGTCTTCCTTTGATGGCAAACTGGCTTGTGAATGAGCGTCATTCATCTGTATTTTCTGTTCTTTCAAAAAGGGAAACTTAGCATTAATTTGAGATTTGAATGTTCTTGCAGTCATTTTAATGAACTTTAGGTTTTTGCTATTATCCACAATATTATCCACAAATTACAATGTACAGTAGATCATTTATCTGTTGTACTAATTATGATTCTACAATTAGACATGTATGAATTTCTTTTGTATTTATTCTCTCTTTAATTGTTCATTTCAACTGCCTGTTCTCCAAGACTGTTTAAGCAAATAATTTAGTTAGATATTTTCATTTCCTTTGTTTACATGAAAAAAGAAAGATTGACATTCCTTGTTAAATAAAAACCGATTGAATTTATATAAGGCTATATAATACAGTTACTCTTCATAAAGTTACATTCACCATAGACCTTTATTACGCTTTTGCTTTCTTATTGAGATATTTGAGATCCGAGTGGAATATTATATTTCGCCATAGTGAAATAATAAACATAGTAGGCCTATATATCGTTCCAGCGGGGGGCAGTAAAAGCCTTGATCGTTTTTCATACCTCTGCAAACAAACAGAAGAAGAAAGCGACAAATTCGCATACATCTACATCGCCCCATTTTGAACTCTATGCATAACTGAAGTTCATCAGTATTATTTTTATATCGTAATTTAGGCACCTCAGCGCCCATCAACAATCTGCTCTGAAAGTTATTTGTGGAAGTTGGGTGGCGTGAAATGTGACTTTGAATGGAAACTCCCTCTTTTTGGTTTTGAGTTTTGCAAATTTGAGTTTGCAGACAGATGAGCTACGCCTCTTAAGACAGGAACTTTTCATCTGAGTTGGATATAAGATACAACGAGAATGCGGGACCGGACCAAAGAATTGGGCAATGTGAGTACAAAGTAGGGCAGTGCACTCAGGAAACCGGCTAGCGTGCTAACGGGCTAACCCGCGGATACTCTACCCACAGCTGCAACTGCGATTTATTCACACTTTCACATATTCTCACGGCTCGCAGTCTGCTGCTATGTGACTATTTATGTGTCTTTATAGAGATTATAAAAAAAAAATCATCAGTCAAATCCCACAAATTGGAAGCTAACACCCTTCTGCACCACCATCGCTATAGTATTGCAGTGTAGGTGGGGTGTAACTCTATTTAGTCTACAAACAAACTAGCAGCCAAGAATGTTTGCAGTTGATTCAGTGATTTTTTTTTTTCAGCCCAAAGATTTATAAATGACTGTTGAAATGGAACTAATTTCAGTCATATTTAGCACTGTTAGTTAACCATTGGATATTTCACACCCTCAAGAAGAAAAGTTTAATATCACATCCGTTTATAGCCCTGTTTCTTCCCACAAAACGATGTGCTCTTAACTGTGTCTGACACTTTTCCCCTCATTTGTAACACGAGTAAGTGAATTCAACAGTTTATAAATAAATATTTCAAACGTATAACAAATTCTTAATGTATACTTTTTTCTTCTCTTCTTACTAGACTGCTGATGCCTCAGATGAAGATGAAGAAACCACGGCTCTCATGATAAAGCCTGGATCTGGGAGCTCGGCAAACGAAGAGAAAGAAAATGAGGCTTTCTTTAAAAAGGTTTACATGAATTATTAGGGAATTGTGGGGTTGTTGTGTAAACAGCTCCAGAAATGAGTCACTACCTCCAAACTCACAAATACTTGTGACCTTGTGGCATCAATTGCTCACCATGAATTACATTTTTGTTACTTAAATCGTGTGGGTTAGGATTGCAATGTTTTCTGAATCAAACTTAATTCACTTAATAATACCCTACTTTTTTCTATATAGGTTCAGGAGATTCGAGAGGGACTTGAAACAATTAAAAAGAAGGTGTCTGAATTGGAGAACAAACAGAAAACGGTGTTAGGAGTCGCACTTCCAGAGGAAAGTGAGTTGCTCAGCTTAGGTTTGGGTATTTTTATATTTCAACACATTCCTATGAAATAAAAAATGGTTCTTCATGGAGATTTGTTTTTCCGTTTAAGTTTTATGATCCAACAAAATGTTTAAATCAATAAATGTATTTAAAAAATCTCCTTGCCAATAGGTATGAAAAAGGAACTGCAGTCCTTCAGAGAAGACATCAAAGTCATGGCCAGCCAGATCCAAAGGAAGTTAAAAAGTGAGACTGATAAATAAACATAGGTGGTTGTTATTGAACGTTTTCCGCTGGACCTACTGGATGTGAAAAATTAAACAATAAATTTGTCACAGGCATTGAACCTAAGAAATCTGAAGGTGAAGACAAATATATTCCAATAAACGTTAGAATGAGGAGAACCCAGGTCAGTTGCTTTTTTTAATACGTATATTATAAATATTTGTAAATATAATACATGAACAGTGTTGTTTTGGCTCAGAATAATCTGCTCCTCCCTTTTTTCCTCAACATCCTTTAAAAGCATGGTGTTTTGTCCCGTGAATTTCTGGAAGTGATGGGTCACTGTAATACAATTCAAGCCCAATACAGAGACAGAAATGTGGAGAGGATACAAAGACAACTCAAAATCAGTATGTGCTTTTTCGGTCTTGTTTTAGTCTATTGATAATACTAGCATTATCACACAGGTCTCTCATAATAGCCTTTTTAAATGTGCACCATGTAATTTTTCCCCCCTGATTTTAGAGTTTCCATTTGTATGATCCACAATGCTAGGCGTCAGTACAAGTCCAAGACTACTGCAGTATTAGTCAGTGCAACATAGCTTTCTTTTGCATTATTTCGACAAGATAAATAAAACTAATGTGAATGTGGTTTCCGTTACAGCTGGTAACAATGTGACAGATGAAGAGCTAGAATCCATGCTTGAGAGTGGACAAACTGATGTTTTCACGCAAAATGTGAGTGTGTTGTATTGTGTACTGTGCATGCTTTGTTTTGAATGCACAAGTGTAAGTCTTGCATTGTGCCAATTGATATTCAGTGCTTTTTTTTCTTCTACAATTACCTGAAGAAAACAGTCCACACTGGGGGTTTGTGATATCATGATTTTTGATTGTGGATGATTCAAATATATCCACGATCTGCTATTGAAGAGATATCGTAGTATCGTGCTACAGCGCACATTCTATCAGTTGCAGTTCTGCCGCCTCCATCTGAATACTGTACAATGCGACATACATTCACATCAAATGTTATCTCAGCAGCAGAGTTACACTCATAGGACACTGCACTTATTTGCAATCCAAAAAGTATATTATTTGTCTCTGTTTTTATAGCCTTGCCGGTTAAACATTTAATTCACGTGCTGTTCTGGCATGCGCTTTTTTTTTTTAACGCGTAGCCTACACCTGAAGCGCGTGCACACTAAAAAGCCTGTTAAACAGTGTGCACTGATTACTGGACTAAGTTTTCTTTCACGTCTGATTGCACTAATATTGTTAAAGGGGTCATATGACGTTGCTAAAAAGAACATTATCAGTGGCAAATACTTTAAATATGAAAGCGTGCTTACAGGCTGTGAGTCAGAAGTGCCAGACTGTCCTTGCAAAGTTGGAACTGCCCCGCTTTAGACGCATTGTAGGCTACTCTGCAGGTTCAGGAAACTGTCCGCCATAAAATGCGCTGCACACATCTGAATACGTGAACATTTGGGCGGTGTTATGCAAATCTTCCCACATTGTGACGTAGACATGTGGGGGCGTGTTTAAACGAGGTGTTTTAGGAGGGCGTGGACAAGTCTTAAATTTGATAAAGAATATCTCTTTGGGTTTGAGACTTTAGTCTTTGCAACTTTAGGGATCTTATCTATGCACGAACAGCTTGTAACACTCCAAAGAGAAAGGAACATTTGAAATTGCATCATATGACCCCTTAAAAAAACACAAGGTTTACATATAAGTTGGTTATGTCTGAAGTAAATAGTTGAGAGAAAAGTGGATGGGTGCCTGTGTATTAGATGTGTGCAGGTCTTAAAGTGACAGCAGACTAATAGTACTAAACATGCTGATGCTTGTTATTAAAGGCATAGTTTACCCAAAAATTTTAAATTGTCATTATTTACTCACTGTCATGTTATCCCAAACCTGTATTAATTTCTTTCTTGTGCTGAACAAAAAAAGAAGATATATTGAAGGATGTGGGTAACCAAACAGTTGCTGGTCCCCACTGAATTTGATAGTAGGAAAAAATAAATTGTTTGGTCAACCACATTCTTCAAAATAACTTTCATGTTCAACAGAAGAAAGAAACTCATTCAGGTTTAAAACAGCTTGAGAGTGAGTAAATGATGACAGAATTTTCATTTTTGGATAAACTATCCCTTGAATGCAGGGCTTAAAGTTCTCCGGCACCATGCCGGATCTCCGGCGTGCGGCGTTTGGCTGCAGGAAAAAAAAGATAGTCGTCCTACATTAAAAATACTTGTTGATATCATGTTCGAGTTCATGAGTTCGCCTACCAATGTATGAGAGGAACACAGCTTTCACTCTACCAAACTAACATTACTAGCCAATCAGAAGTTTTTGCTCTTATAAACACGAGACGCGCATAATAGTATCCAATTGCAGAGTCGCAGCTGATGAATGGAAAAGAAGCCTGGGTCTCGAGCGCAACAGATTGAAAAAGCTGCGAGGCGCAATGGTCAAAGATTTCCATCTAGCATCATATTTACATAGAAAAGCTATTTAAAAAGCAGCGGAGCTTTGTAAACAGCTCAGAGTAATCAAGCCATCTCCTTAAGAACGATATGATTGGCAGAACTATGGGCGCTGCTAGGCCACTTTTAGGGGGGGCTATATGACTACTCAGCCCCCCTAAAAATTATGCAGAAAAAAAACGCAGAGCGAGAAACAGAGGGCAAGTTGTGTGTTTATCGATAGATTGTTATAATATCTGCAACTGTACAGTTCTTTGTCATAAATACAGTTTACAAAATATCATGGGGGAGCAATCGGTTCCCCATCTACTGTAAAATTTCGCTGCGTTTCCTCATCACACTACAGCTGTTTCCTCCAGCAAAAATGAAACCGCATACTTTATGAAACGATGACGTTGCCATTTTTCATTTGAAAATTTAACTTTCAATATAATACATATTACAGTGCATGTGCAAAGAGGTTTGCATACTTGAGCTAAAGAAAGAGGGTTGTACTAGAAAAGCAAACAGTAAAATTTTGTGTTTGTAACTACAGTAAACAGGTGTGTGTGTGTGTGTGTGAGATCAGGAAGGCTTATTCAGTACTCAAATGTTATACCTATCTAAGCAATACAGTGGAATACTGCAATAAGTTTAGTAAACCATCCCTATTAGTCAAATTTTTTATTTATTTATATATTTATTATTGTTTTTTATTATTACCCTCATTGGGGGCTGAGCCCCCCTAAAATGAAAATCATAGAATCGGAACAAATTTACCGGGATTTTTTAAAAGGTCCTGTTCACACATGATCTCTTAACGGTAATTTACCAGTAAAGACTGTATGTGCCATTTTCTTTTATTAGTTTATTTATTAGAATTTGAAAGATAATAACAACATTGATAAGTGAGATCTGATTTTAGTCCTTGAAAACCAAAAAAGTTGTGCAAAAAGAAAAAAACTGCATTTTATTTTGCAGTATCTGTTTAAGTTACCAGTTCTTGGACCATTTTAATGTTTTTGTTGTTGTTAATTGAACTGAACTGTAGTTTTCTGTAGTAAACTGTCTTTGTATATTTCCTATTTTATATTAGTTTCCTAGTATTTAATTTACCATTATTTCTTTTGAACAAAACAATTTCAGAAATGTCATGTTTTAGATTGTAGGTCATCTTGTACCGTCAAGGACAAAGCAAGCCAGCAAAACTTGATATCAAAAGCATCCTAAATGTTACACGTGTTTGCACCATATTGTAGTGAGTAAACTTTCTTGGTATTGCTGTTTCAAATATCCCACCATAATCTGTAGTCTGAGCCTGTCAAGGGCTAACGGCAATGGCAGATACGTTACTAGTAAGTTTCAAGGAAAATCATTTTCTTTTTTGGTTTGCCAAATAACCCTGTGTATGTGTCCACCCCCGCAACCCCCAACCCCCGGAAAAAAGTTCAGGCTCAGCATTTTTTTTTTGCTTTAACCCCTGTGAATGTTAATAAAACAACAAAACACAAAGAGAAAAATCACTCACTGCTCTTGACTGAAGAACTTTAATACAGTTGCTTTAATAAGAATCAATATATAATTTGATACTGTTAAATACATCTACTGTACCTGAAAATTAAAGCACTGTTTGTTTTATTTGTATATTATTTGTATTTGTTCACATTGTGATTTTTTATCTTTGCCCACTTTGGCCTAAATGTCTGCCATTTTTTTCTTATTTTATATTTTGTTACTTTATAAGGCTTTGTTTTTAAAATGGGGAAATTAGTTTGGCTGCACTGTTCAAACAACTCGCAAAATAGTAAAACCAACATGACAAAGAATCGTGATTAAAATCATGAATCATGATTTTTCCTGGAAAAAAAATTGTGATATGATATTTTTGTCATATTGCCCACCTCTAGACTACAACAGAGTGATATTATTCTGTCTTCTGTTAGTCTTCTGATTACTTAAAGGGTTAGTTCACCCAAAAATGAAAATTCTGTCATTAATTACTCAACTTCATGTCGTTCCAAACCTGTAAGACCTTCGTTTATCTTCGGAACACAAATTAAGATATTTTTGATAAATTCTGTCATTAATTACTCACCCTCATTTCGTTCTAAACCCGTAAGACCTTCGTTCATCTTCGGAACACAAATTAAGATATTTTTGATGAAATGTGAGAGCTCTCAGACCCTACATAGATCAGCAACGCAACTGTAATGTTCCCAGGTCCAGAAACGTTGTAAGGACATCGGTAAAACAGTCCATGTGACATTAGTGGCTCAACTTTTTTGTAAACAGTTTTGCAAAGCTACGAGAAAACAAATGAGCGCAAAGAAAACAAAAATAACATAATTCATTCAACAATTCTTCTCCCCCGAGTTATGTCTTCCACCATTTTAGAGTATCACAACACATACGCACGCTTTCCCCTAAGCATAAACAACGCTGATTACGCAGATTACGTTCACGCGCGCACTTTCTCCCCCGAACGTAAACAACGCTGATTACGTCGATTACGCTCTTGGGTACTCTCCAAAATGGCGGAAGACGTAACTCGGGGGAGAAGAATGGTTGAATAAATTGTTATTTTTGTTTTCTTTGCGCTCATTTGTTTTCTCGTAGCTTTGCAAAACTGAAGTTGAGCCACTAATGTCACATGGACTGTTTTACCGATGTCCTTACAACGTTTCTGGACCTGGGAACATTACAGTTGCGTTGCTGACCTATGTAGGGTCTGAGAGCTCTCACATTTCCTCAAAAATATCTTAATTTGTGTTCCAAAGATGAACGAAGTTATTAATGACAGAATTTTCATTTTTGGGTGAACTAACCCTTTAAATGTCACATTTCTAGTCTTCTCTTTTGCTTTCTTTGGAATGGATGCGTTTCATTTGGTAAGATCCTTTTGGGAACTGTTCCATCTAAAATGTAATTGTTATTTCTTGCTTTTGATGAAGTTGATTAGCCTATCCGGCTATTTAGTGATATAATCATTTATAATAAATAGGGACATTTTCCTGTTTTCTGCCCCTTCTCTTTCAGAGTTTCTTGTGAAGCGGTAAAAACAAGAAATATTAGGCAAAGACCTACAGTTGGAACTAAGAATGCTGGGGGCACCTTTGGACAAAGTATCTTTTAGTGTTATTGCCTTTTTATTCCAGATAAAGGAAATCTGGGCTGTCAACATCATTAAAAGCAATGCTAGAAGTAAATGCCCCTCATTTTCAGTACCTCCTTTATAGATTTCCACTTCTCTTTTAGACTTTTGATTACTGTCATTCTTGCCCTTCAGCTCATATATTCAGAACCCTTACACCCCCTTTGCCTGAAACGAAGCATCACCACCATGAAACATTTCACCATAGTGTCCTATATGTCACATGATGTGATCACATGAAAAATCCTGTTCAGTGTCTTGAACCCTTGTTTAAAAATCAATTTGTTCTTGCAGATTTTGAATGATGCTAAAGCTACCAAACAGGCTCTGAACGAGATTGAGTCACGGCATGATGAGATAATCAAGCTAGAGAAAAGTATTAAAGAGCTACATGATATGTTTCAGTACCTTGCAATGGAGGTGGAAGCACAGGTGAGATGAACACACTGGTTAGTTCATTCCTCAGATGGCTAGTAAATTAAAAACCATGATGTTTTATCATTTAAAAAACATTGTTTCATTTAATGTTATTTTTGTCCATATTTTAATTTAAATCTGTATTCTACGTGAAATAAAAAAAATAAAAATTCAGGGTGAAATGGTGGACCGGATTGAGGAGAACATTAAGAGTTCCCATAACTACGTGGAGAAAGCTGTTGCCGACACAGCTGCTGCTGTAGAAACTTCAAAAAAAGTGCACAAGGTGAGTAACTTATTAATATGGTTATTTATTTATTGACATAATATCATTACATCATTGACCAGTGTGAATTATCACATTTCTTCTTCACAGAAAAAATTATGGATTGCCTTATGCCTTGCTATTTTAATTGTAATAATAGCCATTATCCTGGCTGTCAGTTTAGGTTGAGGTAAGTTCCATCAATTGTATTGAATTTGAATGTTAACTTTATGCAAGCTATTTAAAGGGATAGTTCACCCAAAATTGAACATTTACTCACCCTCAGGCCATCCAAGATGTAGGTGATTTTCTTTTCTTCAGTAGAACAGATTTTTAGCTGAAACCATGGTCCTTGGTGATTCATAACATGCAACTCAGTGGAGAATAAAAAACCCATTTTTGAGAATAAAAAAAAAATCATATCAAGGCACACCAAATGAACACCTGTGGCTCCTGACGATATACTGAGCTCTTATGAAGCGAAACAATCGGTCTGTACAAGAACCTGAACATTATTTACAACATTACCTGTAATCAATAGCCTCAGCCAACAGGGAAATCAATTATTTTCCACAAATAGTTTTTTCGGACAGTTCGTTCAATTAGCTGTTTCAGTTCAATAGTTCTTTTACATAATCACGCAAGGATGTAACATATATGCAATTGTATTATTAAAGCACCCAATAATAATTTGAAATGTGGATGTTTTACATGTCTAATGCATATACAGTGACTAAACTTGTGTTCATCCGCTAAATAATTTAATTTCGCCCCTTCATACAAGTGCTTGGTTCATGCACACATCACCGGCTCTTCAGTCCGAGTCAGAACTGTTTTCACATTTCAATGACTGTTTGAGGACTGGATCGCTGAATGAGTTGGCAAAAAACATCATAGAATCATATACACCGATATTTTGGCTGATTTTCAAGTCGGAGTTGACTGTCAGTCACGTCCAAAAGTGAGTTTTGATTGAGTAACTTGTAGATCTGTGCTGCTCAAACCACAAACTGTTTCAGACAGTTCAGTTCAACCGGTTCAAAAGAATGATTTGTTTGCAAACTGGACATCACTCAGGACCATTTAACTGAGGCTATGGATTACAGGTAATAATGTTGTAAAAAAACGTTTAGTTTCATGCACAGACTGATCATTTCGCTTCATAAGACCTCAAAATATTGTCAGGATATAATCAGCAGCCAGGGGTATTCATTTTGTGTTTCTTGATATGCCTTTTTTTTTTTTTTTTTGCAATGACAGGCAGCAACTGACTTGCATTTTATGAATCATCAAGGATCACCATTTCAGCCAAAAATCTTGACCTGAGGGTGAGTAAACAGCAAATTTTAGTTTTTGGGTGAACTATCCCTTTGTGCCCAAATTTGTTAGTTCTGTCATTTTTATTCATAGTTATTTGATATTTAAATCATGTATCCATTTTCTTTACAGTGTTTTCCTTTATTAGATTTCTTTTTGCCCATCAAGCACTGGGTTTTTTCTTCCTAAACTGTCTTCCTGAAGTCCCTCTAACAAACAACATCGCCATGTGTAAACATGACCATTATTGGTATCCCAACTGTTTTGGTAGCTACATTTGCTTAAATTTTTAATTGTTGATCTGTTGTTTTAGCTGTTTTGTCCTATCATTTCCTGAAAATGTGTCTGCTGCACCACTTGGACATTTAAAAAGTTGCATGGTAAAAATGGTTTGAATTAACCGATTGCTTTACTGACTGTATTTCCAAGATGGTGGACTTCATTTGCAACACCAACACTAAAACATGGTCATATAGGGTAGATGAAGAAGAAATGCTAATGAGATTCCTAATATATAACGCTTCCATTCGGAGACAAGCTCGAGAACTCTGAGTGATGGGCTATTTGTCTTTGCCCTAATATGTTTATAAGATGTATTTTGTGTTATCTGTTGTGATTTATCGTTTTGTAATGCCATTTCAAACCTGAAATTCACTAAAATAGCATTCATGGTGATCTGTATATATATATATATATATATATATATATATAACAACTAATTTTATACTCTGCTTTGCATTATAGTAACTACCTTTCAAAATACTACTTCTCTTGGTCACACAATGACATGTCACATATGTATGAATATTTTAACTCATTTGTGCTCTGTCCCAGTAAAGACATGCACTTTTAAGAACTGATTATGTACAGTTACTTGTTTAGTGCCTAAACCTTGGTGCCTTTTCTTGAGCAGTAATATATGGAGTACCCACTGTGTGGCACTATAAATGTCAAGATCACCAAGAATGCAGTTTATTTGGTTTCAGTTTGCAGCCTGTAGACATACTGCCACACATTTAATTCATTCTTATGTAAAATTGTAATTTTTAAATAAAGTACATATTATATATTTGATTGTTTTGTAATATTTTTCTTGTCTTATCCTATTTTTTTATAATTTTGATATTTGAATTCCCTTTTTACTGTTCAAATACAACTGATTGGATGATATACAGTTGAAGTCAGAAGTTTACATACAAAGTTTACATCCCCTTTATTGTGTTCTTAGTTACCTGAATGAGCCACAGCTGTTTTTGTTTGTTTGTTTAGTGATAGTTGTTCTTGAGTCCCTTGTTTTTACTGAACCTGAACAGTTAAACTGCCTGCTGTTCTTCAAAAAAAAAAAATCCTTCAGGTCCCACAAATTATTTAGTTTTCCAGCGTTTTTGTGTATTTGAACTCTTTCCACCAATGACTGTATGATTTTGACATCCATCTTTTCACACTGAGGACAACTGAGGGACTCATATGCAACTATTACAGAAGGTTCAAACGCTCACTGATGCTCCAGAAGGAAAAACCATGAGACTGTAGTCTCCTCATAACTCATAGCTCTGGATGACATAATACACGGGAATCCCCAGTAGTTTCATTTGGACAGTCGTAGGTGGCACCGACCTGCGCATAGAACTACATCTCCCAGATTGTGTTTACTAGTTTGCTCCCATTTATAGCAACTGCCGTGTATCTCTCGCCGCCTGTTCAACACGGTCTGGACTGCGACAGAAGGAGGTTCAGGTAATATTTTATTTATGGAAGTTGTTTATTGTGAAAATATCACCAAATTAACACGCCAAAGCGTTGGTTTGTCCAATGTTTTATACTGATTTGAAACTATAAAAAGTTTTAATTTTAAGATTACAAGCCGTGTCGTGTTTACTTAAACACTTTTTTGTGTTTAAACAATATTTTATTACATACCTATGCCAAATATACCAAACAAATCTAGCATGTTGTCAGTCGAGTCGCTTTTGTTTGTCCTCGTTACGCCCTTACATAAATGAAAGTGAAAGAATAACTCAACAACGGCAAAACCAAGCATAAAGAAGCTTTTGACTAAAATAATCGTTTGGGGCATTGAAAGGTGACTGTGTCCCACATAAACGACGGGATGAATGACGGAACGGAGGAAGAGACGGCCCCCGTTATAATGGATACTTCGTACTCGCAGGTAGTTTTCAACGATGTTCCTCCATCATATCCGCCAAACACCGCAGTTACGTGCCGGTACACCCTGACTGGTGCTGTGCAGCCCAACCCGAGCGACTGGATCGGTATCTATAAGGTGTGTAAGAAGTAACAGCATACACTATATTTCCTGTATTGCAGTGGTTCTCAAACCTGTCCTGGAGTACTGCACATTTTGTATGTCTCCCTCATCTATCACACCTGATTCAACTCATCAGCTCATTAGTGGAGACTGCATGACCTGGGCCGTTTCTCAATACCAAGTACGCAAAGTTCGGACTTCGCAAATTCGACTCAGGAGTGCGAACTCCCGGGGACGTGAGGAACAGCAGCGTACTTGATAACGTCATTCAGCTCGCCTTACTCCGGTTATCTACACTATAGCCTATATGTAGTACACTATATGTATTTACATACGACGAAATATGATATCAAACACCACTGTCTCTTTTTGTTTTCATTTAAACATATTAATAGCCGCAAAAATGTAGTTCAGAGAATGTACATACATTACAGTGAAACGAAATATTATATCAAACGGCAATTGCCTCTTTTCTGTTTCATTTAAAATATTAATAGCCACAAAAATGTGGTTCATGCAACGCGTACACGCATTACAATAAACGAAATGATAAACACCACTGCCTTTTCGTTTTCTTCAAAATATGAACCCTCTTTTCGTTTTCATTTTAAAAACAAAACATGAATATGTGGTTTAGGTAATATGTGCACATACTTTGATTATCTTCACTGTATGTATAATAAAATGAAATATGACAAGCACAACTCTGCCTTTTTTGTTAAATGTCAGTTTTAATGAACAATAATAGCCACTATAAAAGTATAAGTATAAAGTATAAGAGACTTATGTAATAGGAAATAAAGACTAAAGCAAACAATTCAGTCAAATGTATGCAACAAAGTCAGCATTGTATTACGATTAATAAATAAATAATTTATGAAACATAACTTTGTGCTCAGCCAAAACGATATGACCTGGAAGAAATAATAGATTCATGAGACCAAAGATTACCTGATATACCCAAAACGAATTTTACCTCATGTTCAACCACTACAGAGACATCAGAGCCAGTGGCAAGTGTCAGAAAAACGTCTCAGGTTACTTATGTAACCATGGTTCCCTGAGTAGGGAACGAGACACTGCGTCCTCTAGGGGTCGCTATGGGGAACGCCTCGTCGTGGCCTGTGTCTGAAGCATACATTGAAAAAACACCAACAACACGTTGGCCGGCGACAGCCCATGACATCACTACCGGTGCGACTATTAGTATAAATAGGCGCCGGGAGAACATGTCATTCACTTCTTTGTCTGAAGCTTGCGTTCGAAGCATGGCGGGAAGCCTAGAGGACGCAGTATCTCGTTCCCTACTCAGGGAACCATGGTTACATAAGTAACCTGAGACGTTCCCTTTCA